ACCAACACTAAGAAGCTTATGCCTCCATTTTTTCCCAGGTTTCTATCAATATATGAGGAGTTTGGAAATGGTATGGGGTGTAATTCATGGCTCCTTTAACTGTAGCATCTCATGTTAACATGGCTTCTTTCCTCATATATTTAGTGTTTCCTTGCCTTTCTCCACATGGTGTCCTACTGCTATGGACTCAATATTTGTGCCCTCTCCCCCAAACTCGTATGTTGAAATCCTGACTCCAAAGCGATAGTATCTGGAAACAAAGACTCTAACAGGTGATTAGGTTCCTCGTGAAGAAGATCAATGCACTGTGGAAAGAAATATGGGCACATGACCTCTTTGTCTGTTCTCTACCTGGTGAAAGTACAAAGAAATGGTGTTTACAAACCAGACGGCAAGCGCTCACCAGACACCAGAGCTGCTGGCATGCTGGCCTTGGCTGTGTTAGCTTTCAGAGCTATGAAAAATAAATTTCTGTTCTTCAAGCCTCCCACTTAATGGTACTTTGTTAGAGTTCATACTGGAACACTCATCCTCCATGGCCTCTGTAGGCATTTTGTGACTTTAAGATGATGGCTTATGGCTAGAGAGAAGTCTCAGTAGTTAAAAGAGTGCTTCATGTTCATCCAGAGGACCCACATCCAGTTTCTAGCACCCATTTTTGGAGTTTTGCAAACCCCATAACTATAGCGTCAGGAGATATGATACCTTCTTTTAGTCTCCACAGATACCTGCACACACACAGCATACATTCAGATATTCACACTTACACATAAGTAAAAAATACCTCCCGCCCTCCAAAAGATGGTAGCTTAGGGCTATCAAAAATGGTATCCATTAGATCTTAACAGGAGCTACAAGGATTTTGATCATTTAAATTCAGTATTCCTATGCCACCTAAGTTGTGTTTTACAAACAAACAAGTCACTAAGACCTGTGAAGATTAAGTAGGAAAAGAAGCAAAGAATTTGTAGACAAACTTAAATCTACCTTTTGGTCAGAAATAATTTATATTCCTCCCAAACACACACACTATATTTGTATGTCTAAAGGTACCTGGATCTCATCATCTGCCAGCATTGGCTTCAAGTCCAGATGTAAGTAGCTCTACTGAAGCTCCCTGACTAAGCATACTTCTAAATCTGAGGCTGTGTGACCTGAAGAGATTAGTTTTCTCACCTTTTCATCCAACAACCATATCAAATGGGGGACCTGGCACAGCATAACTGTAATCATTCAGGTTTGCCCAGGAAAACAGAAGTCTTACGAAGAGCTACTGGTAATGACCCCATGGAATCTACATGTACAGTAAAGTCCTTGATGAGGCTTCATTCTGTTCTCTCAGGATGAGTCTCTGTGTCTGTTTGCTTTGTTTTATGGATTCTTTGCCTCTGGTTACCAAGCCAGTTTTCTTTTCCCTAAGAAAATATCCTTAGGGGTTCCCTTAATTTGCTTTCTTCTCAAAGAAATTCAACTATTTGACAACCTTTTCATTTTTTCAATCTCTTTTTTCTATATAGAAATAAGGCTGGGGAGGAGAAAGAGAAGGGGCACAGATAGGATGAGATATAATCATCAAAGCCTTGCAGTGGCCCATTTCTTTCAATAGACCTACCTTTTGATAGTCCATTCACCTGTGATCTCCATCAACTGATGAGACTAGCACCTTCGCAATCTAATTATCTCTTGATAATACCATTCACTAAGCTATGCACCAAACTTCCACACGTGAGCAATTGTGCAATCATTTTGTATTCAAGTCTTATCATCTTGTAACTCTTGGTGAAAGAAAGAATATGCAAGCAAGCAAATAAGCAAGCAAGGGAACAGATAAAGGATTTGAAACACCACTGAATAAGTAAAGAACTTGAGTTGTGGGAGGTTGTACCGGTACATTAGATCTTTAGAATTTTATTCTTGACGAGGGTACCAGGACATCACTTACTTCTGTTTTTTGCAAATGCATCTAGGCTATGTTGAAAATATTTTACTTTTAGGAATTGCTAGCTTTAGTCAGGAAAGGGAAACTGCCATGGAGATTCTTAAGGTAACAAAATTTCACGTCTATTTATGAATGTACTTTCATAACTAAGCTTATAGAAATGGAACCAAAAAGTCCAAATCAATGACCACATCTACTGATGAGCAGTCCTTGGTACTCTGACACTGGGCCATCGTGTGATTGGTTTATTTTATTGAGTTCTTTTGACTTTCAGTCAATCTTAAAGAAATGGAACACTCATTTCAAGTGACATATTTAGGAACATGTAACAGGAATAATAACAGAAACAAAACAAAGCCTCTAATTTCTGGTTTTATGTGGCTCTAGATTAATGGGAAGACTCTGGGAAGAACTTCTGCTTCACCTTCTGTTCCCACACTCTGGTCGGTGTCCTTTCTGAAACATCCTGCTGATATGGAAGAAAAGAGGTCTAGGACCAAAGTCATTCAGATCCTGTAGCAAAGGAGGAAAACCACTGACCCTTCTCCTTCTTCTATTATTGCTTTTAGTTTTTTAAAAAATGTTTTTTTCTGTAAACATGGAAGACAAAGTTTCTGTCATAGAGATAAGAGGAACTATGGCTCACATTTCCTGTTGTAGCCCATGGTCACCCTGAATTTTATTGAAGCATTTTCCTATCATCAGACTTTTAGAGACATTGAGACCTTCTGGAAAATTGATGAATTTTCTTAATGTGATAAAGGAGAATAAAACCAAACTTACTCATCAGGCCAACTTTTTTTCAACTTTTCTAAATTTGCTTGCATAGATGGTTGAATCTTAATTTTACCACAATCTAACTTACACCATTTTCTCCACAGCCTGGTAACTATTGGCTTTTTAATTTCCTTCTCAGGCTAAGGGTAGACAGGCATGTCCAGCGCACACTTGGAATTGATGACAGTCATGAGATAATGACTTGATAACATGCATATGTTCCTCGCTCTGAATGGGAACTTCGCTAAGTATCAGTTATGACAGGCTGGGATTCCTTATCCAAGTTGAAGTAAACCAAGCCAAATATTGCTGGCAGTTTTCTGGTAGGAATAAGATATTTCTTATGAAACAGCATGATTCTGAGTTAGAAATAACAACTCCTAAAACCAATGTGCTTCCGTTCCCATCTTCAGAGGTAACTGTCAGTGAAACAGCAAAGCCTTTGTGGACGATCTAGCTTATTTGGAAGCTGGACAGTGATCAGACAAAATAAAAAAAGGCATGCCCATGAAAATACAGGGTTTAGAGAAAGAAACCAAAGTCTTAATTTCACAAGAGGGGAAAGATGGCAGCTGATAAACTCTTCTGACCCACAAAGCGTTGCTACTACAGTGTATGAGAAAATAAACCAACCACAGGGAAACCACACCAAACCCTGAGGAAATTCTGTGCGGGGTCTGGAGTGGACCGTAAAAACATTTCATGTGTCTCTCTTCTTCTACCATGTTCATTGGTCATTGGGAGAATTTGTTTGAGTGGTACCTAGAAGTTGGAGTTGGTATAAAAACTTAAAGGTTTTTCTAGCAAGTGTATAAGCTAATGCATAATCAAAAGAGTCTGGGACACTTAGCTCAATGCTTCTGACTGTGTCATCAGAGCTCATGACCGAGACCCGCTGTGTCTGGCCACTCTGTTACTATGATGAAACCCACTGGTTTTCTTCCTTTTTTGCTACATATTTTATAACAGTGGTGTTACCTGTTTTCTAATTTTATACAAAAAATGTACTGTTGTCTTTGGAACTAGGGATTCAAGAAGGAGGAGAAGGAAAGTAGGGAGGGTCAAAGTCAAAATTACCCAGACATAAGGGTAATGTGAAGATATTTATGTGCGCTCTCATGTGTGAAGCATGAATATGTGGTGTGTGTGTGTGTGTGTGTGTGTGTGTGTGTGAGAGAGAGAGAGAGAGAGAGAGAGAGAGAGAGAGAGAGAGTACAACAGAAAAGAGACCATAAGTAAGAAGGGAAGAAGAGATCACAAAGGAAGGGTCAGGAGAGTGGAATGCACACGTATGACATGAAAACACAATGGAGACGGTTAGCGGAGGGCGACAGCAAGAATGGAACAGGGAAAGAATGGGGACAGTACAGTGAGGGAAAAATAAGAACAGGATATGTAGCTGACACAGTGGTGTGGCAGTTGCCTTTACTCCTAGCACCTGAAAGGCAGCGGCAGGCAGACCTCTGTGAGTTAGGGGCCAGCCTGGTCTACATAGTAAATTCCAGGACAGTCAGGGCTACATAGTGAAACCCTATTTGGTGGTCTGAACAAGAATGCCTCCATAGGCTCATGTATTTGAATGCTTAGTCACTGGAGAGTGGCACTGTTTGAAAGTATTAGGAGGATTAGGAGATGTGGTCCTCTGGAGGAAGTGTGTCACTGGGGGTGTGTGTGAGGTTTCAAAAGCCCAGTCCATGCCCAGTCCTCCCAGTCCCTTCCAGGTCCCTTCCTTTCCCTCTCTCATTAGAAAAGAACAGGCTTCTAAGATATAACAACCAAACACGACAAAATAAAATATGGTAAACTGAGGCAAAAACTATTGTATCGAACTTGGACATGGCAAGTCAACGGGAGGAAAAGAGTCCCAAGAGCAGGCACAAGAGCCAGAGACTCACTCGTTCTCACAGTCCAGAGTCATATAAAAACACTAAACTAATAGTTATACACCCAGAGGACCTAGTGCAGGCCCACGTTTGTCCAGCACTTGCTGCTTCAGTCTCTGTGGTGAGCTCACATGTGCCTTGCCCAGTTGACTCAGAGGGTCTTGTTTTACTGTTGTCTTTCTGTCTCCTCTTCTGCAGGAGCCAAAGCAAATACGGATCTGTGAAGACAGCAGGCGGCTGCAGCAGGAAGCACCACACATCACCTCACTGACTTTAATTCAGTTGTCAGTGTGGTGCTTGGCAGGCAGCAAATCCAAATTTTTCATTTTGAAACATTCCGGAATTTTGCTAACAGTTCAATTCATGACTCACTGAGTCCACAGATGTGGGGTCCATGGATACGCTGGCTGCAGCTTATGTTTAGGGAAGGAAGGTGTGTTGGGGACAGATGGCATGGTTTTAAACCTGTCGATTGTGAGGGGTCTCTGATTCATGCAATGGGAGCCCGCAGCCGGTGAGTGTAAGTGTCATTCTGGAGAACGGGTGATGCCATAGCTGTGAATGGATGTGCTAGTGATTTGCACACAACCCAGCCTTTGCTGGCTGCTCCTCAGCTTCCTGAGCCTGAACGTTTTCTTCTCTCATGCTACTTCTTTTCTCTCGGTCTTTTCTTCCATTTTATGTCTTATTTGTTCACATTCTGTTTTCATCTTTTCTCAATTTTTCCTTCATTCTCTGCACATTTTTTACTCACACACAGCCAAACATAAGCAGAGAGAAAGCCCAGGTTGGATGTTTCTATCAGGTCCCTCCCCTTGGAGCTTGGGACCCCACAGAAGCGGGGAGGAGGAATTGTAGGAGTCAAAGGTATCAAGGATACCATAAGAACACATCCCACAGAATCATCTAAGCATGGCTCATATGGACTTCAGAGACTGAAGTCACAAACACAGACCCCTCGTGGGTCTGTGGTAGGTTCCTTGCATATATGTTACAGTTGCGTGCCTTGTTCTTGTGGGACCTAACAGTGGGAGCAGGACTGTCTCTGATTCTTTTGCCTACTCTTAGGACCCTTTTTCTCCTACTAGATTGCTCTTTTAGCTCAATTAGAGGCTTTGTGCCTAGTCTTATTACATCTTGTTATGCAGTGTTTAGCAGATGCCACTGGGAGACCTGTTCTTTTCTGAAGGGAAATGGAGGAAGCATGGATCTGGGGGAGAGGCGAGGTAAGAGGAGTAGAGGGAGGAAACACTTCAGTTGGGGTGTATTGTGTGAGAGAAGAATAAAAAAATGTAAATGGGGCGTTGGTGGCGCACGCCTTAAATCCCAGCACTCGGGAGGCAGAGGCAGGCGGATCTCTGTGAGTTCGAGACCAGCCTGGTCTACAAGAGCTAGTTCCAGGACAGCCTCCAAAGCCACAGAGAAACCCTGTCTCGAAAAACCAAAAAAAAAATGTAAATGTATGATATAATAAAGATCACTCATGAAAAAGATGCAATTTGGCATAATATGTATAAAATAACCTCCAGGGAAAAGAAAGTTATTAAAAATAAGGAACAGACAGGTAAATAATTTGCCTGTGCTTAGATTAAGACATCTATTCATCACAGGACACCATTAAAACGTGACAATACAGTCGTGTTTTACAGAGCTCAGCCCTGCTGCTTTGTAATCCTATTTGTTTTTCTGGCCTACTCAGAAAAGCATGACTTTCCCCTTCCTTTTTTCTAGTCCTTTCCTAGGAACACTTTCCTCACACTTTTGTCTTCCCTAACACAGGATTTCACTTTCTCTAAAGTTCCCCTGCTCAGCATGTGGCGGCCTGCTGCCACCTGCCTGGCCTCCTTGTGGCATATTCCTTGTCTTAGTGGTACTGGTGTGAAGAGACACCATGACCATGGCCACTCCGATAAAGGAAAACATTTAATTGGGGCTGGCTCACAGTTCAGAGGTTTACTCCATTGTCTTCATGGAGGGAAGCAGGGTGGCAGACAGGCCGACACGGTGCTGGACAAGGAGCTGAGAGTTCTGCATCTGGATCCACAGGCAGGAGGAACAGTCAGCGAGCCACGGGCCTGGTTTGAGCATCTGAGTCCTCAAAGCCCAACCCCAGTGACACATTTCCTCTAACAAGGCCACTCCTCCTAACAGTGCCAGTCCCTGTGGGCCTATGGGGGCCATTTCCTCTCATGTGACACAATATTAGGGAAAAAATTAGGTGAACAAAAGACTTGGACTTAGAAAAAAATTAATCACTTTTAAATTAATGAAGATAAAACTGGAATGAAAAGGGTGTAGGCAAAAGATGGGTAGAGCTTCTTATAAGAAGATAAATAGCTACGAATGTATGAATATTGGTATCTTCACTGGAAACAGGAAATGCAAAATTAAGAGAACAATGAAATAGGGTTTCCCATCCATTAGGTTGGCAAACAGTAATATGCTGGGCATATTCGATGTCTGTTGAGAAATCTCCTGTAGGTAACCTCAATTAATCTTACTAGGTCACACACGCATGACACATAAAGACATGAAGGTAGGGGTAATAATTAGGGAAAGGGTATTAATGGGAGGGGGCCAAGAGAAGAAATGGGGTGAATATGAGTTACATACATCATGTATGAAAAAATCTCATAATGAGCGCTATTATTACCTATAATTTATGTATATTTGAAAAAACTTTCTAAACAAATCTCTCATGTGTAACTGATGGAATTGTGAACCGGATGTTTCAGAAAACAATTTGGCGTTATAAAGCTTAGCATTTGTCAACCTGGAAATTGAGCTTCTACAAAACACTTTCAAAATGCTCCCACATATTGCCTGCTTTTAGCAGGATTAATTATAGCAGCAATAACATGAAACAGTACATGTTACTGAACTCAGGGGAATGAGTAAGTTACAGTGGTGAGAATTAGTGCACTGTAGTTGCAAGGTCTATGTGAATTAACTGTTAAGAGTATAGTATTTGGTCAAAATATCAGACTATAGTGCTTAATATCAATTAGCCTAATCATAAAACCGTGGCATTTCACAGCGTGTTGCTTAGGCATATGTACATGTTGCAAAAGTCTCATTGCATAGATTTCAAACTGCCGTTTGTTCTGGAAGGAGGTTTCCTGAGGCAACAGGGAGAATATAGCAAAGAGACAGCTGCTAGGCTCCTTCACGGTGGTAGAAAGCAGATGATTTTATTTGTACTTATGATCCATGCGCTGGTTACATGTTACATGTGTTTGTATTTCCACAGAAATAAAAATGAATCAAATGGAGAACAGACAGCATCAGGTCCAGAATGGGTACCCATCTCAGTTGTCAGACCAGCTGTCATGGGATCGCAGAGCCTGCATGGCTCAAGTTATCTTTCTTGACAGTGACCCCAAATGCCAAGATAGCAATGCTGGCGATTTATTGTGGCATGTTGTTGTTACATTTCGTTACTGCTCATTATTGCTGAGGTCTTCCTGAGCCTAACTCATAAGCTGAACTTCACCGAGTGTTGGTCTGCGTTTGAACAAACCACATACCTACAAGGTCTGGCGCTTCATACGGTTTTGACGTGCGGTGGGGTTTTAGGAAGTCAGCCCTTGGAACAACAGGGACTAGGTCATACGTTCTGGGGCTGGCTATCAAGTCTACTGCTTTTGACCAAGTTTCTTTGCCGAAGTCCCCTAAATTGTAAAAGGGGGATAAAGAGAAAAATCTTCATAGAATTTTTGTATTCAATGTGTAACATTTTCAGGATCTCATTTCCTGAGCCTGTTTATGTTCTTTTAGGTTTCTGAGGAAGGATTTTGCTATGACCTTGAAGTTTAGGCAATCCTCCTGCCTGAGTTTCTCCAGTGGAGGTATTATTGGTGTGTACCTCACTTCCTGTCTCCCAGTTATGTTCTTATTTAATAGACTCGTTTTCCAATATAACATTACTTCACAGTAAAGGTCTTTTTAAAGAAATTCTTAGATTGCTATTGTACGGAGCTAATGACATTATCTTCATTTTATAGATCAGTAAAATGATACATAGTAAGTTTTACAATTGGTACAAGCTCTTTCTTAAGCACACATGCCAGGCTCTGCATAATGCCAAGTTCTGCTATCTACCACCAGCCCGCGTTTTACCTGACCAGGTTAGCCTCAGCAAAGCACAGGGCAGACTGGCATTTTGCGTGGTAGTTATTGTACTCTGGCTTTGGGTTTCACACTTATTTCTTGTGTCTTCAGGTGATATTACTTAGCACTCTGTTCAACCCTGAGATGTATACTCAGTGGTGTTTTGTTGAGCTAAAAAGCAGTACAAAGCTACTTTGACAGAAAATAAAACCATTTCTGTTTCTATCACTGCCCTCATTGCCCTGATAAGGAATAATTGTGAGATGATGGTTTTTATAGAACCTGCAGTTGGAAAGTCTCCCAGGTGTGCTTTGACTGGATTCAGCTCATTTTCCCAGTCATGAGAATCTTTCCCTTAAGCGTCTGTAATGCTAATCGTACCCTGTTGGGGTTGGTCCAGAAGTCTCACAGGATGGGACTAATTGGCCAAGCTAGGAAAGTACTGACAACCTGAAACAAGTTGGTCACAGGGTAAGCAAAACAACCTTTGCTGCTTGGGCCTTCACCATCCTTCTTTGCTCCAAACTGGGTGGAGACAGGGACAGCTGGTTACCATTTCCACAATAACAGGCATCGCATATCTGAGGACTGTTTTCATGTCCTTGTCATTTTTCTCCTTGGGCTAAATGACGGACTTTTTCTACAGATTCATATTACCTAGAGTATTGCTCTCACTGTTCCCAGGGTAGGGGAGTGGGAGGGTGCTGGAAAGTTCTGCCCCCACGGAATTAGAGATGTTTCTAGTTCCTTTCACCTTTGCCGGTCGGCCTTGTTTCCCAAGCCTTTAATTATCTGTATTGATTTGCTTTGAACACTGGGCAAATTCGCAATGCCCCCTGTGATTTGCGGAGACCAGAAATGTGCATAAGATTTAACTATTAGGTGACTGTGCCCCAAGACATGAAGTAAGATCCCATGGGGGCTCTGGGGACCTGCCGCTACTACTTTTATACTGATTTGCAAATTTTTAATTGCAACCTCTTGAAACGATTACCATACCATTGTGGATTCCAGCTTTCCGTGCAGAGGGTTATGACTCTGGAGATGTGGCTGGAGTTGAGATGGGATCCTCATTACAAGAAGCAGGACTGTCCTCAAGTGACTCCGCTCTTTATTAATCTCTGCGGTGTAGCATTTTAAAACTATGCTTGATCTTGTGTTTATAAATAGTTTTCACAACAGAAAATATGGGCTGCATGTATTCCATAATTCTAATCATCTGCTCCTCAAATCTGCCTTTTATTAAGTTGCACTTAAAGTACTTTTGCTAGGGAAAAAAAAAAGTCACGCTTGCCAATTGCTCTCTCACACATGTTTGTTTGGGAATTCAAGCTCATGTCATTGTGACCTTGTTCCTTGGTTTGAATCTTTTCACTATCTAAACATAGGAAATGTTTTCTTGGAACAGGTGTTTAGAAATATCTGGGGAACAGTTTACGAAAAACGAGTTGGCTTTGTGCTTCTAGCTCAGGCCCTGGAAATACTTAACCATTTAGTATTTTGCTTTTGAAATACTGTGTCATTAATGGTCTAGACACCACCGACAGCTGTTCAAATTCAATCCAAGTGGGCCTGGTTTCTGCCTTATTTATTTATCATGTCCAGCTAAATTTGAGTAATCTTGGCTTGAGTCCTTAACGGGGGATTAGAAGATACCCATTGTTGGTTTTGCTTTTTTTCAAAGTCCAAACCCATGTAAAGTTTTCTACAGGAGTTCAATTATTAGCTTCATGCAAACAATTGTAGTCATTTTTAAAAATCTGTTGTTCTTTATAGAGTGGTCAGTCATCCTTGCCAAAAATTTAGGAGAAATGAATTGTTGAATGAATGTGAATGGAAGTTTACATTGAAATATGAACTCTTAAATATAGAACTTTGTGTTTCCCACCTCCCTGCTGCCCTCATTGTACGCTGTCACATGGAAATCTATAGCTGCTTTCACAGTGAGGACACTAACTTGAATTGTAGACATATGTAAAAACATGGTTTTTCTGTCTTGGTCATTAATACTTAATTGCATACATTTCTTTGAAGCTGGTGATGGCATTAAAGTCTGTTTCCTCTTGGCTATGGTTTGATAGTTAATTTGTCAAAAGAATAGTAAAATTTTAAATATACTTCCACGGCACACAATCATGAAAACACTGAACTTTTCTGTGTGGTTTTAAATTTAAGAATAATATTTTTATATTTGCACTGAAGAATTGGTTTACATTTGCCTCCATCACATGAATGATTTTGAAGTAGCCATATATTATCATAAGATCATGTGTTAGGCAGATTTTCATTGCTGTGACAAAAATACCTGAGCAAGTCAACATGTAGGAAGAGACACAAATTTTGGTTGACTGCTTTAGCTATAGCACCTTGAGCCCTTGCTCTGTGTGGTGGTTTGAAAGAAAAAGAGCCCCGTAGGGAGTGGCACTATTAGGAGGTGTGGTTTTGTTGGAGTAGGTATGGCCCTATTGGGAGAAGCGTGTCATTGTGAGGGTAAGCTTTGAGGTCTCCTTCGTTCAAGCTACACTCAGTGTGGTACATTGCTTCCTGATGGCCTTCGGATCAAGACGTAGAACTCTCAGCTCCTACTCCAGCACTATGTCAGTCTGCACATGGCCATGCCTTCCATCATGGTGATGATAATGCACTATGAAAGTGCAAGCCAGCCCCAATTAAATGTTTTCTTTCATAAGAGTTGCCATGGTCATGGTGTCTCTTCACAGCAATAGAAACTCACTAAGATACTATGTGCAGAATATCACAATGTGGACTGTGTATGGTAAGGCAAAGAGGCTCATCACATAGGTCCAGAAGGTGGATTGAAGGCATGTATATAGGTATAAGATATGGTCCCCTAGGACTAAATCCTTTTAGCTATGTCCCACCTAACAAATCTCCATCATCTCCCAATAGCCCATTAAACAATGAAGCAATTAATGAATTACTCCACTGATAATGTCAGAGCCCTTATGATCCAGCCACTTCCCAAAACTGGACTTCTGAACATTGCTTCCAGATTGTAACAGCTCATTTTGAATTGAATTTTGTAAATACTATTGTTCTACCTGGCTTTCAATGGTCTCAGTGATTTTTAAAGGATGTAGTCCCTGCTTGTTCTTGACCAAATCCTCATGTATGGTTGTTTAAAATTGAGCTATGTTTGGAATATGATCAGATATCATATATTTTGGAAATTATTTTTAAAAGTAGATTTTAAATAAACAAATAGGTATATGATGTGGTACATATATTAATTAGCTTGATTTAATCATCCTATAATATCTATATGCATCATTACATCATATTCTATCCTAGAAATATATATGTAACATATGTATGTATAATTTTTGGAAATTAAATCTCAACTTTTTTTAGAGTATGAAACATTGTGGCCTTTATGTATACTTTACAGTAGCATGTCAATATTCTTTTCATATTGTAAAATTACACTGCCAGCATGAAACCTTCATCAAAATGCTCTGTTGTTAGATAAAATCTTCTTAAAATGTAACTGTAAATGTTCCATCCCCTCCCTCTAAAGATGAAAATTCAAGTCCAAATTCATTATGAACCTGATATTCATTAACATACAGCAAATGATCCAAATACTTTCCATCTACTTAAGATAACTTTATTGTAGTCAACTACTGCTACTACTGTTCACACACATCTGCAGTATTGCTACTGTGGTTTTCTGCCAATATTTTCCCCTCAGAGTCTACACAGCTGCCCACCTACCTACCCAGCTAACATGTGCTCATTCACTTAGTTCACAGATGCCCTTTAAGTACTCACACTGTGAAGGAAATTGTGTCAGCCTGTATTTACATGAGTCTTATAGCTGCCTGCCCTTCGGTGATCCCTCAGTAACACCACCTCTTTTTCAGGATGAATGATGCTGTGGTGTGAGCCTGCACCTGTTGCAGCTATATTTACCACTGACTTTGGAAGCCATCTACACTCATGGGCATGAAGGCAGATCTTTATTAACTCCTCCAATGACAATGATGATAATAGCTAACATTCATTAAAACTATGTATCAAACTGTGCTCTTAGAATTGTGTGTGTGTGTGTGTGTGTGTGTGTGCATATAATGCTTGTGACATGGCTAACTGCATAGAGTAGTAGACATAGAGTAGCATTGGAAGACTGAGCTTTGTCTGTGTAATTAAGAAGGAGAAAACACATGCTTAACTCAATTTATGTGGATGCTATGGGAACCAAATTATTTACAACCAGTACAACAATAGTGCCTTAGGTGAATGCAAATTCATACTGGCTCATGTTGATTTACAGCTGTTCAGCTTTGACAAAGCTCTTAGTTTCTTTTCCTGTTGCCATGATAAGATACCACAACAAAGATGACTTAAGGGAGAACGGGTTTATTTTGATTTGCAGTTCAAGAAGACACAGCAGGAAGCAGGGAAGACTTGGTGGCAGGAGAAGTCTAACTGGTCACATTGCATTCATACTGAGGAATCAGGCGTGAACAGGAAGTAGGGCCTGGGCTGTCTCAAGATCCACTCTCAGTAACTCATTTCATCCAGCATTGTTCCACAGCTGGGACCAAGCGTCCAAACCCACGAGCATCTCATTTTCAGACCAGACATGTTCTCTTTTCTCTAATTACTGAAGCTTTCCTTTCCTTATTTTCCACATGTTGTGTGAGACAGGGTAGCCCAGACTGTCTTTGAACTTGAAATTCTCCTCCAGCCTCCTGAGTGCAGAGATTGAAGGTCTGTGCCATCACACAGACTACTTTGCGATCATTTGCCTGAGCCTGGTGGGTCTGCGTCTCCTCTGTTCTGTATAATTGGTATTGATCACATTCACAACCCTGTGGTCACCAGCACATTTTGGTTCTTAGTAGCCCGGGCTTGTGAGTCGGCGGAATCAAGGTTTACTAGAAGAAATATCAACACTACCAGGAAGTGGTCTTGCCCAGCCTATGAGTCTGATTCATAGTCAAAAGAAATGAGGCATTTGTTAAGAGTATTGGGAAACTTAAAAAGCACTGGGGAATCAAACTCAAGGCCAGTTTTCTGGGCATAGGATTAGGAGTCAAACACAAGCCATCTATGAGTAAACCACTTCTCTACAGCTCTGAGTAGGAGAAATGAGTGGTGTGGAGTCACCTCTGCCTCTTGAATTCTGCTGCTCTTCCCTGCGACTGCACTGGAAGGAGAGACAGCGTGGGCTCTCGAGACCTTTGTTCTCATCTTGGTCTTTCTTCAGATGTAAAGCCTTGTACTCTGACTGCTATGAGTCTATCAATCTAGCCCCCATGACGTCTTTGAACTGACTATAGCTCTAAGTGCACCATTGCACAAACTATGTTTCTCCATTTTGTTCCTTTGTACAGTCTAGATCACATGCCTCCTTCTGTTTACCAACGGGGCCTGGGAAAATAAGGATCTTAACATCTTGAACTCCTCGAGTGGATGATGATTTTGGCAATAATCTTGAAATAGGGCAGGCCCCAAACATATTAAGAAGTTTAGAGCCATGTGTTGTACCTATCAGGTACCCACCACAGACAGTAAAATGTGCATTTACAGAAGAAATTCTACTTCATAGTCACTGGTAGGTTGCCCTTGGTCCAGGGCATGGTCTCCATCCGTGTGCACATGTGGACAGACTGCTTAGAAACAATGGGGTATTAAGACAAAAAATAAAAGGGGAGATGTTTGGGTGGATATAACTATAATAAGTACATTGTATACCAATATAAAATTATGAAAGAATAAATAAAAATAATTATGCAGATAAACTCCCCCTGTAATAGTTCCTCTGTCCAGAACCATCTGGTCTAAGTGCAGGCAGCCCCCAAGTGCCTTTATGGCCCTGACATTATTCCTGAGATGGCGTCCCACCTCCAGTGTTCAGACAGAGAATTCGAGATGCGGAAAACTTGTTGCCTTTACTACATACATCACAGACTCACAAGCTTCAGGACCAAGGGTATGAACGTAATTGTTGTAAGAAATTCTGTAGTCTTTCCATGATGCCATTTCCAGGAGGCTTTCTCTTGGATGAGTGCTCATTGAGTGGATACTGGTTCTAGTAACACAGCAGTTTCAAACATTTATCAACAACGGAGATCTCGTTGACATAATCTCATTTGGTCCTTGCAAGAAGCTTTTAAATACTGTTAAAATAATTTTTATGGATTTTGAGAAATTTGAGGATTGGCAGTAACTTGTGTCACTTTCTAAGTGAAAGATGAAAAATGATTTAATGTACACATGGTTTTTTAAATGATTGATGCCTTAAAATCTTCATCTGACTAGTATCTTAAGGTATTGTTTTATCTTAAAAGGAATCTGTGCTATAAGCCCTCCTCAAAATTTTTTCTTTCATGTGCAAATGGACAAAGAGGTACAAAATCAAACATGCACACATGCGCGTGCGCGCACACACACACGCGCACACACACACACACATGTCTCCATTTGGTGTTATAGGCAATTGAAGATTCATTTAATTTCTATATTAATTAATTTCTACATTAATATTAATATTGTCATATATAATTAATGGAAAGAAAAAACACATAAGGAGCAAAAATCTAGCTCTTTATAGATGTTACACTTAATCTTAGCTAGCAGGCTGGGAAGGGATCTAGCCTTTACAGAGATAAGCACATATAATCATTTGGCTTCTAATACATCTGGGGATTATTTAGTTATCTTTAGCAACAAACCAGTACAGGTTCTCTCTCGTGTCAACAGTAGACAGTGTGATAGTTAATTTTGACAGGGTCGAGAAGAAACTGGGAGATGAATAAAACACACATCTGTGTGCATTTTAAAAACAATTGCTAATGTTTTGAAACTATAATATAACTACATCATTTTACCCTTCTCCCTTTCCTTCCTCCAACCCTTCCGACTCACCATGCCTTGCTCTCTTCCAAATTCATGGCCTATTTTTGTTTAATTGTTATACAAACATGCACTCACACAAGCACAGCCTAATAGACCTTGGTTTGAATGGTTAGCAGCTCATTTACACTTGTATTTTGGTATGTAAAAATATCCCATTGCTTTCTTATGGGTGTCCTTGTATTTTGGGGGGCACAGGTGCTATTTTAGAATAATTTTCCCACTCAGCCACTGCAAAAATATAATTTTGGTATGTTTACTTTTTAAAAATAAAACTAGTTCAAGATTTGGAAAATAATAAACACATTTTTGATTTATCTGAGTGTTTTGAGTTCATGCTGGCAGTTTCAGAAGTTGAAAGGTGAAAGGTCGGTAGTTTTTCCTGTTTTAGTCATTTATATAAATACCTTTCCAGGTGCATAAGGATGACCTTGTGTTTTCCAAAACAATAGATATCTTAGTCATGAAAGTGTGCTCTGTGATAGCTGTGTTGAACTACTGCTCACAGATCAACCACATAGATCTAAGGTGGATATAAGTTTTGACTTTTCTGTGTTTGTGATACACACAATTTCTGTCACAACCAAGGCTGTAAACACAGCTGCCACTGTTAACAGCTTCCTTGTACTCTTTGTGGTTCCTCTCTTCTGCCTCCCCCTCTATCCCAAACCTATAGATAAATTTGAATTTTCTGAAGTTTTACGAAGATAAAACATAGAAGAGACACCAGAGACACCAGTTCTCTTCTATTGTTTTATCTTCTTTCCCTTGGTATAATTATTTTTCAAAATTATCCACATTGTTATCTGTATGAGCAGTCATTTTTGTTGGTGAATAGCATTTCGTTATATCACATTTCTTTTTTTTTTTTTTTTTTGGTTTTTACTTGTTTTGGAGGCTGTCGGTCCAGCCCGGCCTCAAACTCACAGAGATCCGCCTGCCTCTGCCTCCCGAGTGCTGGGATTAAAGGCGTGCACCACCACTGCCTGGCTATATCACATTTCTATATAATATTTTGCTTATGTTTACCTGAGTATTTACAGCTAGACGCTCTTATAAAACTACTATGAAAATTCCCATACACACCTTTATAAGGCATGCTGACACTGTAGCTTCAAGACATTTGGCCTGAGAAAATGACTAGAAAAAATGTACTTGCCTTGGACAATGAAGTTGAAAGTTTTAAGAGGATAGGTTTTTGCCTACAGCAGGGTGTTGAGAATAACTCAGCAGCTTGGCTTTGGACTTAGTGGGTTGAAAGAGTCTCTTAGAAATGCGGGTGGACTCGGGAGGCAGAGGCAAGCAGATCTCTGTGAGTTTGAGACCAGCCTGGTCTACAGGAGTTAGTTCCAGGACAGCCTCCAAAGCCACAGAGAAACCCTGTCTCGAAACCCCCCCCCAAAAAAAAACAAAAAACAAAAAACAAACAAAAAAAAAACCAAAAACCAAAAACAAAAAAAAAAAAGAAAGAAATGTGGGTGAACATTTCGGGTGAGACACTGTTAGATTGAGCCAGAAGTTTCTGTGGAAAGTCTAAACAAGACAGGAACTTGAGTGTTGTCAAAAGCAGCTAGTATTTAAACTGCGGTGGATGAATAATGGTCATTCAAAGATATGCACTTAGACACCATAAACCCCTTAGTTGGTGAATATGTGATCTTACACGGCAAATCGATCTTGACAATGTGGTTGAGGGTCTTAAGGTGAGAATATTATCCCAGTGTATACAGTGTCATCCCAAGTACATAGTCATAGGCAGAAAAAGAGAGAGAGAGAGACAGAGAGAAACAGAGACAGAGAGGAAGACAGAGAGAGAGACAGACAGACAGAGAAGAGTTTAGACAATGTGCTCAGGGATTCCAGTGTAGAGCTAAGCTGATTGCAAGCCTGTGTTATGGAAATATCCACCTTCTTCGGTGCTATGCACAAACTCTTTTAGTTTCTTGGCCTTTTAAGATGACTTGTTCCAACAACATCTCTCCCTTAGATAAACCAAGGAAGGCCCAACCCAGACTTCTCATTCCAGTTGTTTTGGCAAATAGACATGCTTCTGTTGTTAGCTACCTCTGTCTATATTTATAAATTATTTTTTAAATAAATATTTTCACATTTGGCTAAGTATATTTAAAACATGCAAATTTTAGTTAATTATGTTTTAGGCAATATATTCAATATTGAGCCTTTGGTTCTTTTTCTTGCCAATGGATTAAGGGCCTGAAACATCCTTATTAAAGAAACTATACCCTTTAACACCTTACTAGAAACTCCCCTAACTCTACTTTACAAGATCAAGGAGAAAACATCAGCAATGAAATAGCTACAAAATGTTGCCATTATGGTTAACAAAATTGTTTTTATCAGTTGCTCCATTGATGTGTTCTATTTCTTTCACTGTCGTGACAAAACACTGCTACAAAACCAGATTAGGAAAGGGAAGGTTTGTTTTGGCCACCATTGGAAGACGTAGTCTGCTGTGGCAGGAAGGCACTCTGGAAATATGGGGTGGCTGGCCAGTTGTGTCTCCATTCAGGAAGCAGAGAGAGATGAAAGCTGATGTTCAACCAACTGCCGTTGTCACCACTCCAATCTCTATTCAGTCTCCCCAGCCCACATTTGAGGGTTAGGGTGCATCTTCCTTCCTCGTTTAAACTTTTCTTGAAACATCCTCACTGTTTATACGTGGGCCTCCTTGGTGATTCTTATCACGGCCAAATTTGGAAATGAAGACCAGCCGTAACCGTTGGTTATTTCTTATTTCACCCTGTGTCAAAGACCTGGCTGACCCCCAGAGACACAAACTCAAAAGTCCCACAAGCCAGTGATTCAGCAAGATAGTTCCTCTCACGACTCAGTTCAGCTGCAAGAGATAAAACACGTATCCTGTAAAAAAAAGAAAAAGCAAGGGAATTGTTATTTCGTGCAAAACTGCGTTACTTGAGTTTGGTCGGTCTTCAGATCTAGGCTGTGCCTTTCAGCTGTGGTGGGCCTCCATGGCACATGTTTACATGTCATAAGTTCTGTCTGGGGTCTGGGTAACATCTCTGGAGACTCTTTCTAATGTCCCCGGTGGACTGCTGTCCACGCTGAATCCTGGGGCCAGGAAGGTTCTGTAAAGACAGGCTAACACCCAGAGAGCTCTTGGGAACAGGTCAGCAGCACCAAGGACCACATAGCAGGTTGAAAGGGATCTTTGGACCACGTCCTGAGTCACCAACGCTTCTGGCACAGCTGGGGTCACAGCCCCAGGAGACCCCAGAAGCACTGCTCATGGTTTAGTGGGAGCGAAGTCCTCCTCACGCCTCCCCTGCGTACAGACACACAAAGATGAATGGCCGGCAGAATGGCAGAGTTGCTTCTCTCTGCAGACTACATACAGGGCGCTTTGTGCTCAGGACGATTGCAGTACTTACCTTCTGGCAGAGGGAAGCCTGCTTCTCCGGAGCTGCGGAAAGTAACGCTTGTTTCTGAATTGGTCGGAGTTCAATCTCAATTATGTCTGGAAACAACACACGTCCCTTTCCCCCTTCTGTATGCCTGCAGTGTTAATTTCCAAGCAAATGCGTGCAAGTTGAAGTTGAAATAGCCACACAACATTGACATTTATTGGGCACTCCCTGCGGAGCCTTCCTGGCAGTGTGGTCGCAAAAGGTGTTGCCACCGCACTGGGGGCTTAGCGGCTCACTCTTTCCAGACTTCAGGTACCACCCTAGAGCGAGGCTGGAGAAGTTTATTTGAACAGGATCTCCTTCAAATCTGCCTCCGCTCCACCCACACAGAGCAGAATCGCAATTTTTCTTCCAGTAGTACAGAGCTGCTACCCCGAACCAACAAAGGATGTTGTAATATAATTTGCTGCCATTTATTACAGGGGTTTTATACTTACATACTTAGCCGGCTATAAAATAAAAAAGTAATCTCTCTAACATTTAAGTTCAGTATTTATTGCTTTTTTGGAAGTCTTAGTATTTCATTTGACCATGTTGCTGAGTTCCCTCCCATGCTTCTAAAGTTCATTGTACGTGAACGCTGATCTGATGGGGAAGCGGGTGCTGCTTTTCTCTGGAAGTCCACAACACAAGAGTGGGGAGATGCACCTGTCTTTGGTCTCTGCAAACACTCAGCCAGGGTGTGCTGCTGAGCTTGCTTTTGCAGCTGTTGTTTTATTTCAAGAATCCTGCTGTAGTTTTTTGAATGCTTCAGCCTTGTGAACTCTGAAACTTGGACTTGTTAAAGGGAGGTTCTAAGACCCTGTCTGGACTGCTGATAGTAGCGAGATAAAAATCTAGTACTGACCCCAACATAACAGCACTGATCCCAATGGGAGGAAATGTCTGAAACAGCACACAGTTCAGCAGACTGCATGTGCACCGGACTATGCAAAATTAATGATTAACTGCATGCCACTGAGCTTGTCAGGGAACACTGTGGCTCTTTAAGGGGCTTATATAGTCTATGAAAGAAATTAGCTCATGAGAGGGACTCATAAGGATAAAAGAAAAAACTTAAGTAGAGGCTTGACATGTCCTGCTTTTCTCACAGGGCAAAAAGTTAAACATAATGGCCTCCTTTTTATAGTATGAAGCTCTGACTCTGAAGTTGGAGCAGATGATCCACTTGTTAAAACAAGACATGAACGTTCTTGTTATTCCTTTAAGGGGGAGGGGGATGGTGTGCACTCAGTTTGAACTTTAAATGTACCAGGATGGAGGGGGAAATTATCCAACAATTATCCTAGACATTGAAGACCGTGAAACCAAAAATAATTATGAAAGTGACAGCAAAGAAGTTAAATAGGAAGGGATGTTCGTAATTCACTATCCGTTTGGATCACATGAGCTTTGAGAATCCCAGACAATCTCATCAAAATTCACAAATGAAACTGAAGGTAGGCCTTAGTTGAGCATTACTAACCTTGTAATTTATCAGGAAATATAATCTCCCAACATAGCGAGTCAAAAAGAATTTCATAACAGTATTTTCTTTACTTAGTATAAATTATCTTCCTGCCTTCCCATTGTGGTTCAGTACACTAATGATACTAGGAATCCAGGAACTGTTAAGACAAACGTAAAACCCTGTAGTGTTCATTTAACTGAAGATCTGCTGAGGTCGATGGACCCTGCCAGCCTGCAGGTCTTCCAGAGTACAATCACCTAACATGACTTGGCATCTGTGTACCAAGGCTCAGTCCATGAGTATTAAATGGCTGCTCAAGGAATTTTCAGGCTGGTAGATACATTTCTCTCCTTCACTCCTTCCCTCCCTCCCTCCCTCCCTCCCTCCCTCCCTCCCTCCCTCCCTCCCTCCCTCCCTCCCTCTTCTTTCTTTCCTAACCCCTGCAGGCCAATGAAAAATAGAATAGAGGGTTGGAGAGACAGCTTAGTGGTTAAGAGTACTCTTCCTGCCGATGACCTGGGTTCACTTCCCAGCACCCACAAAGGCAACTCACAACCATCTCTAACAACAGTTCTAGCTGATCCAATGTCCTCGTATTATTCCTCAGATACTGTGTGTCTGTGGCACACTTACATACATGAAGGAAAAACACTCATGCACATAAAATAAAAAATAATTATATCTTAAGGAAGGAGAAATAGAATTGTGGGGAGGAGGGTATGCTAAAAAAACAATAAAAAGGAGGGGCATGCTTTGGCTTTTGCTAAAGTCTTGTTTTCCAGCTTCATTTGCCTGTGGTCAAAATTCTCCCTTCTCCACCACCATCCTGCATCTGAACTGCTCCAGTCAGAGAGGCAGGTTTCTCAGCTGCTTCTCCGTGTGTGCTGTCTTTATGAACATGGAAAGTGGTACAGGATGGGAAACAAGCTTTGTAGACATATGAAGACTTCTACTTTGAGTGTGTGATGAGGAACCCTAAGGTGGTCTGGGGTGTCTTTTCACAGGGACAACTCTCTTGGCAGCACCTTTGCCAAATCAAGAATATAGCAGAAGGGCTGAAGAATCGGCTCCGTGGTTAAGAGCACTCGCTCTCTTGTAGAAGACCCAGGTTCAATTTCCAATATCCATATGGCAGCTCACAGCTGTCCGTAACTCTAGTCCCAGAGCACCTGATGCCTCCTTCTGACTTTCATGGGCACCACACACAGATGCGATATACACACATGCATGCAAGCAAAAACTCTCATGCACATAAAATAATAAGAAAAAGTAAATGTAAACAAGAAAACAAACAAAAATAATATGCTAGACAGCCATCTTACCCCTTGGAGAACTGGCAAATAGTAGTACTTATCTGAAGAAATAACTCCAAGTTTGGGGCAATTTATAATGTATTAACTGTTTAAAAATTGGGATACTGACTACAAAATTATTTTCTATTTAGTGAATAAGTGTTAAAAAGTAAAGGCAGAAACTAATAATCATTGCATATAATATCAGAATGAATAATAATAATTCCTAAAAATCTGACATAGTTTACTTTCTGAAAAAATGTAGTCAGGTTATTCTAGCTTTACAAGGACTCTAAGAATGCTAGGATGGAACCCTGCTAATCCAGGGCTGGGCAGGTGGAGGCTTTGGCCTGGCCCATGCAGAGGAAGTTCAAGCCACATTCCTCTCTCATCACTTGGCTGGCTGGGAGAGTGGACCCTGCTTTGTTTCAGAGTCTCACGTGAGGTCTTTCTGCTGAACCAGTTCCCCCAGGGAACACTTGTAAAGAGGAAAGACAGACACGCAGGAAGTGGGAGAGGCTGTGGGAGCACGCACAGCACAGCTTTAAGAGTTGCCAGTTTGGGGTCTGTAGAGGTGACTTGGGCAAACCCCTGTGCAATGGAGCACTGTCTGTCTTCGGTAAGGCTCCGCCTCCAGGGACTTGTTCATGTGCTTCTGCAGTGGGCCCTGTGCTTTCCGGAGAGTCACTGTGGTAAAACTATGCATTTGGGAGGAACACTGTAACAGCCCCCCTGAATGGAAGTGGGGAACAGCGCATACAGTGAACTCAGGGTGGCTGGAGCATGTTTCAACTTTTTGTGTGTTCCTATGCTGGGTATAGTTTCCCACGTTCACCTTTTTTTTTTTTTCCTCAAACAAAATGTACACAGGAAAACATGAGAAGGCTGTGTTATATCCAAATGACTCTACAACATTAAAATAAGTTGCATAGTCAAACTGGCTGCATGCACATTTCCAAACAACAGCAAGCTCAGCAAACAATACACACAAGTGTAGCTATTTCAAGCCTAGGAAAACACTTTGCTTCTATGCAAACCAGACACTGGATGTGAACACCGCCTGACTGTTGATAAAAATGATAGACCCATGTAGCCTTGAGAAGTCTACACATCCCTAAGAGGGCCATGTTATGTAGTAGGCTTGCTACTTTCTCGGGTTCTAGAGTCTGAATATCTCTGTAGAGCCTACTGCCCTAGACGTGAAGCTCAAGCTTCCCAAAGACCCTCATTAGAAAAAAAGCACCAACTTGCTGTTGTGTTGATCAGCAGCTGGTACGGTGGGGGATGTAAACGGAAGGAGGGAAGTATGTGTGCGTGGTCATGGACCTAAACTCCTTCTCTGTGGTTACCTTGGGCCAGCTTTGCCCATCACAAAAGGTCATAGTTTTCTGAAAGTTGAGCCTTGTACATAAGCTGGTGCTAACCATTACATTTTTTTATCCCTATGAACTAACATTAGTAATTTCAGCATGGGGTTAGCCATGGTGCTCCTACATGGATCCCTTGAACTGTCTTCATCTGTTTATTAAACTTTCCAAATCCTGGTACATAAATGATGTTTATTTCTTACTTCAGCTATAGCAGGAATAACTGGCTATGAAATATACATCTATTGTTTTCGTTTATCTAAAGCAAGTTTGCTGGAACTATCTGTTTTTATTTGTCCTATCTATGAGACGGAGGTAGTTGCAC